GAGTGGTGCGAGACATGAAGCTATTGGAGTAGAAGAGACGGCTACATTTAGTAGTTTCAACAGTGAAAGAGTGAGAGTGGGATGCCAGCCTCGTAGGGCGCTTGAATTCATGAAGTCTGGGAACCAGCGAATGCAGCTCCTTGGAGCAATTACCATGAAAGTATTTGTAAAAAAGACAGAGAGAGGCGATGGCGCATCTGTGAGAGAATGACTGTAGATGAGATGCAAGAACAGGGACAATTATATTGCATATCCACCTCTGGAGCTTATCAAGAACCCTGAGGCAAACAGAAGGGGTTCCAGACCATATATGGCAGCAATACTCCATGCAAGGGCGAATTGTTGATTTGTACATCTGAAGGATGGATTTCGAGGGAAAAAATTTCCTGGTGCGGCACAGGGAACCAACTTTCCTTGCGGTGGACAAAGCAATTGACTCAGTGTATTTGTTCCATCTCAGGTCAGCAGTCAACGTGAGATATATACATATATATATAAAAATAAATAAAATAAATGTAAAAATATCAATAAGAACACTGGATTATATATCTTACTGTTCTTTCTTTATATATATATATATATATATATATATATATATATATATATATTGATGCATGTTTCATTGAATAATATAGACAAGTTTTGTCTATTTATTTTAATGGCTTCCCATACTTAATACTTCTCGTTTTCACTCTTGTGTGGTCATGTGTGATGTCACAAGCTGCGATGTGATTTTCACTTCCGCGTCTTGTATACACGAGTTTGTTGTTGCTTGGAAATCTTTCATACAACAAAAACTATTATTGTTTTGTCCGTGTATTGTTTAATATATTGAAATGTAATTGTCATCTTTGATAATGGCTTATGTAAGCCAAAAGCTTAGATAGGATTAAAAAACATGTATCAATATGGTGTTTTTCTTTCAACAATAATTCTATTAAGTTTATTAGACAATATGAAAAGAATTTACTTAAAATAAATAGACAAAACTTGTCTATATTATTTAATGAAACATGCATCAATGAAAAAATGCTGCCTAAATACACACACACACACACATATATATATATATATATATATATATATATATATATACACACACAAAGTTCTCAGATGTTCATTTTTCTTTCCATTATATTTAAGAATATCTGATAAAAAAATCTTAAGAAAATGTTTTGTACAAAGAAAGGACAACTTTTCACATTAGCCCCCATATCGATTGAACTGGTTTTTATTTATAAACATGAAAAGTTGATATTTCTTAAAATAAAACCCGACAGCCATATTTGTTTACAGAAAAACATTAATGAGTATCTTGAATAAAACTTATAGTAATATTAGATGTGTGTGTGTGTCTGCACACATTGACCTAATTTTGGGTGTAAAAAGTCACAATATATCCAGTTATAACAATGACTATGTGAGGTTGACCTCTGAGGACATCAAAAACTACTATATGACATTTCTAACCAAATAAATTCATTTCTAACAAATGGACTGAGATATTACATTCACTATCAAAAACAGTTTTTATGACCTCACAACTTGTAGGTTATTTTGAGGTAGAATTAGTTTATAGCCTTTATGATCTATTTTGTAGCTAAACATTTTCATTCTTGGAGACAAATTGTTATATGGGAATAACTTAAGCAAAGATGATACAATATTTGGTACTGACCTTCCATGTCAGTGGAAGTCACCAGGAGTCAATATTCTGTTAAAATTGCTTATTTCAGCCAAACGGAAAAGCTAACAACTTCACTTTTTCTGTTTTGTTTTATATGCAAACCTATTTTTTCATTTAAAAATACAAAAATAGAACTCAAAACTGCAGAAAATACCAGTGAGGTATTCCTTGTTTCAAAGAATGATGCAGCCAAATAAATAATCTCAAAAATGTTGCAACAGATTCTTGACACTTTTGAAACTGTTCTCTTTGACTGACTAGTGTTCCTCCCCGCAGGCTTCTTTAAAACTTAAGATGTTTGTAATGTTCATAAGGCTTCTCATACCAATGTTATGTGATGAAACATACTTAACATACTCTAGCAGCTTCTGCTCATAATTTGGCCATTTAGAATAATCCCATGATTTTCATTGAAAGAATAATATCCAGTAGAAAAAGACAACA